AGGTGGCGTGAGTAGTAAAACTATTTCACATTGTTTTTAACTGAAGGCCAAACTCGTAACTCAAATACTCTTCTCTACGATCAGATCGTAGAAACTTTATTTTCTTATTACGATGATTTTTCACTTCACTCTGAAATTCTTTGAACTTTTCAAATGTTTCAGACTTATGTTTCATCAAGTAGATATACTCATATCTGCTCAAATCATCTGTGAAGATCAGAAAATAATGATACCTGTTGCGAGCCTCAATATTCATCGGACCACATACATCAGTATGTATGATTTCCAACAAATCTGTTGCTCGCTCCATTGTTCCAAAGAACGGAGTCTTAGTCATCTTGCCCATGAGGCATGGTTCGCAAGCATCAACTGATTCATAATCAAGTGATTCCAAAAGTCTATCAGCATGGAGTTTCTTCATGCGCTTTACACCAATATGACCTAAACGGCAGTGCCACAAATAAGTTGCACTATCATTATTAACTTTGCATCTTTTGGTTTCAATATTATGATTATGTGTATCACTACGATCGAGATCCAACGAACTATTTTCATTGGGTGTGTAACCATATAAGGTTTTATTCATGTAAACAGAACAACAATTTATTCTCTTACTTAAATGAATAACCGTATTACAATAAACATCATCAAATCATATTCATGCTGAACGCAAACACCAAATAACACTTATTTAGGTTCAACACTAATCCCGAAATTATAGGGAGTGTGCGATGATGATCATATCAATCTTGGAACCACTTCCAACACACATCGTCACTTCATCCTTAACTAGTCTCTGTTTATTCTGCAACTCCCGTTTCGAGTTACTAATCTTAGCAACTGAACTAGTATCAAATACTGAGGGGTTGCTATAAACACTAGTATAGTACACATCAATAAGATGTATATCAAATATACTTATGTTCACTTTGCCATCCTTCTCATCCGCCAATCACTTGGGGTAGTTCCGCTTCTAGTGACCAGTCCCTTTGCAGTAGAAGCACTTAGTCTCAGGCTTAGGACCAAACTTGGGCTTCTTCACTTGAGCAGCAACTTGCTTGCCGTTCTTCTTGAAGTTCCCCTTGTTCCCTTTGCCCTTTTCTTGAAACTAGTGGTCTTGTTAACCATCAACACTTGATGTTTTTCTTGATTTCTACCTTCGTCGATTTCAGCATCACGAAGAGCTTGGGAATTACTTTTGTCATCCCTTGCATATTATAGTTCATCACGAAGTTCTACTAACTTGGTGATGGTGACTAGAGAATTCTGTCAATCACTATTTTATCTGGAAGATTAACTCCCACTTGATTCAAGCGATTGTAGTACCCAGACAATCTGAGCACATGCTCACTAGTTGAGCGATTCTCCTCCATCTTTTAGCTATAGAACTTGTTGGAGACTTCATATCTCTCAACTCGGGTATTTGCTTGAAATATTAACTTCAACTCCTGGAACATCTCATATGGTCCATGATGTTCAAAACGTCTTTGAAGTCCCAATTCTAAGCTGTTAAGCATGGTGAACTAAACTATCAAGTAGTCATCATATTGAGCTAGCCAAACGTTCATAACGTCTGCATCTGCTCCTGCAATAGGCCCGTCACCTAGCGGTGCATCAAGGACATAATTCTTCTGTGTAGCAATGAGGATAAACCTCAGATCACGGATCCAATCCGCATCATTGCTACTAACATCTTTCAACACAATTTTCTCTAGGAACATATCAAAATAAACATATGAAAGCAACAATGCGAGCTATTGATCCACAACATAGTTATGCTAATACTACCAGGACTAAGTTCATGATAAATTAAAGTTCAATTAATCATATTACTTAAGAACTCCCACTTAGATAGACATCCCTCTAATCTTCTAAGTGATCACGTGATCCAAATCAACTAAACCATAACTGATCATCACGTGAAATGGATTAGTCTTCAATGGTGAACATCATTATGTTGATCATATCTACTATATGATTCACGCTCGACCTTTCGGTCTCCGTATTCCGAGGCCATATCTGCATATGCTAGGCTCGTCAAGTATAACCCGAGTATTCTGTGTGTGCAAAACTGGCTTGCACCCGTTGTAGATGGACGTAGAGCTTATCACACCCGATCATCACGTGGTGTCTGGGCACGACGAACTTTGGCAACAGTGCATACTCAGGGAGAACACTTCTTAATAATTAGTGAGAGATCACCTTATAATGCTACCGTCAAACAAAGCAAGATAAGATGCATAAAAAAGATAAACATCACATGCAATCAATATAAGTGATATGATATGGCCATCATCATCTTGTGCTTGTGATCTCCATCTTCGAAGCACCGTCATGATCACCATCTTCACCAGCGCGACACCTTGATCTCCATCGTAGCATCGTTGTCGTCTCGCCAATCTTATGCTTCCACGACTATCACTACCGCTTAGTAATAAAGTAAAGCATTACATCGCAATTTCATTGCATACAATAAAGCGACAACCATATGGCTCCTGCCAGTTGCCGATAACTCGGTTACAAAACATGATCATCTCATACAATAAAATTTAGCATCATGTCTTGGCAATATCACATCACAACATGCCCTGCAAAAACAAGTTAGACGTCCTCTACTTTGTTGTTGCAAGTTTTACGTGGCTGCTACGGGCTTAAGTAAGAACCAATCTCACCTACGCATCAAAACCACAACGATAGTTTGTCAAATAGACTCCGTTTTAACCTTCGCAAGGACCGGGCGTAGCCACACTCGGTTCAACTAAAGTTGGAGAGACAGTCGCCCGCAAGCCACCTATGTGCAAAGCACATCGGGAGAACCGGTCTCGTGTAAGCGTACGCGTAATGTTGGTCCGGGTCGTCTCGTCCAACAATACCGCCGAACCAAAGTATGACATGTTGGTAGGCAGTATGACTTATATCGCCCACAACTCACTTGTGTTCTACTCGTGCATATAACATCAAACCATAAAACTTGGCTCTGATACCACTGTTGGGTAACGTAGTGATTTCAAAAAATTTCCTACGCACACGCAAGATCATGGTGATGCATAGCAACGAGAGGGGAGAGTATGATCTATGTACCCTTGTAGATCGCAACGGAAGCGTTGACACAACATAGAAGAAGTAGTCGTATGTCTTCTTCCCGATCCGACCGATCCAAGCACCGTTACTCCGGCACCTCCGAGTTCTTAGCACACGTACAGCTCGATGACGCTCCCCAGGCTCCAATCCAGCAAAGCTTCGGGGATGAGTTCCGTCAGCACAACGGCATGGTAACGATGATGATGTTCCACCGACGCAGGGCTTTGCCTAAGCACTACAACGATATGACCGAGGTGGAATATGGTGGCAGGGGGCACCGCACACGGCTAAGGAACGATCACGAGGATCAACTTGTGTGTTCTAGGGTGCCCCCTACCCCTGTAAATAAAGGAGCAAGGGGGAGGTCGGCCGGCCTATGGGGTGCGCCAAGGGAGGGGGAGTCCTCCTCCTAGTGGGAGTAGGACTCCCCTTTCCTAGTCCAACTAGGAGACTTGGGGGGGAAGGAAAGAGAGGGAGAAGGAGAGGGAAAGGGGGGCCGCGCCCTCCCCTCCTAGTCCAATTCGGACTCCCATGAGGGGGGGGGGCGCGCCACCTCTTGGGCTGCTGCCCTCTCTCTCCCCTCAGGCCCAATAAGGCCCATTACTTCCCCGGGGGGTTCCGGTAACCCCTCCGGCACTCCGGTTTTCTCCGAAATCACCCGGAATGCTTCCGGTGTCCGAATATAGTCGTCCAATATATCAATATTTATGTCTCGACCATTTTGAGACTCCTCGTCATGTCCGTGATCACATCCGGGACTCCGAACTAACTTTGGTACATCAAAATGCATAAACTCATAATAACTGTCATCATAACGTTAAGCGTGCGGACCCTACGGTTCGAGAACAATGCAGACATGACTGAGACAAATCTCCGGCCAATAACCAATAGCGGGACCTGGATGCCCATATTGGCTCTTACATATTCTACGAAGATCTTTATCGGTCAGACCGCACAACAACATACGTTGTTCCTTTTGTCATCGGTATGTTACTTGCCCGAGATTCGATCGTCGGTATCCAATACCTAGTTCAATCTCGTTACCGGCAAGTCTCTTTACTCGTTCTGTAATACAACATCCCGCAACTAACTCATTAGTTGCAATGCTTGCAAGGCTTATGTGATGTGCATTACCGAGAGGGCCCAGAGATACCTCTCCGACAATCGGAGTGACAAATCCTAATCTCGAAATACGCCAACCCAACATCTACCATTGGAGACACCTGTAGAGCTCCTTTATAATCACCCAATTACGTTGTGATGTTTGGTAGCACACAAAGTGTTCCTCCGGCAAATGGGAGTTGCATAATCTCATAGTCATAGGAACATGTATAAGTCATGAAGAAAGCAATAGCAACATACTAAACGATCGGGTGCTAAGCTAATGGAATGGGTCATGTCAATCAGATCATTCAACTAATGATGTGACCTCGTTAATCAAATAACAACACTTTGTTCATGGTTAGGAAACATAACCATCTTTGATTAACGAGCTAGTCAAGTAGAGGCATACTGGTGACACTCTGTTTGTCTATGTATTCACACATGTATTATGTTTCTGGTTAATACAATTCTAGCATGAATAATAAACATTTATCATGATATAAGGAAATAAATAATAACTTTATTATTGCCTCTAGGACATATTTCCTTCAGGTTCCGCCCCACCCCGGCGAGGTTGCACCGCCGCCGGCCTCGCTCTTCCTCGCCTCACCTCAATGCTCCTGCTCTCCTGCTTCATCGCGGCACCATGGCCGAGCCGCTCGCCTCCGTCCCCATGACGCGCATGGCCACCACCGCCGCGGCTGTACCCTGCACTGCGCCACCGCAACCTCGTCTGACCTCATGTCGCCGCACCGCCCCTCCTTTCTCACTTCTCTCCCTCACCACCCCGTCCCATTTCTGCCCAAGACCCGCGGATGCCATGGATCCGTACGGGAAGCCGCGCTCTGGCCTTCCTCGTCGTCACCGGCGACCCCCGCCTCGCCACCCGTCTCCGGATCAGCCTCCCCAGCCCCCGTCGTGCACGTATTCGGCCCCTGCAAGCTTCAGCCATCGCCGACGCTCTGCATCAAGCAACCCCAAAACGAGAGCAACGCAAGGTTGAATACTCAAAACCACATGGTTCTTTCTATAAAAACGAAACGTTTTCTCACAGATATCCACTTTAAAAAGTACCGCGGGTTCAATTACCGAAAAACACATGGGCTTTTTTGCAAAAGGTGCGCGACGGTGAACCCGAGAGGCTCAACCCGTGCTTTATTATTACTAGCACAAATGCCCGTGCATTGCAGCGGGAGAAAAATGACGGGCTGCTAATGACAAAAATGATGGACCAATTGAGAGTAGGATTCTTCGGGACGCCGGTACGGGATATGTCATATTTATTCTCGTTGTCCCAAGTCCTAACCTAAATCTGACCATAGGCTCCTATATTTTCAGAAATATTGTGCATCATATGAGCTGTGGTATTATTTGAATCTTGGTGCAAAAATTCAGACCAATGTATTCTACCTACTGTTGCTTCTCAGCTTCAACATCATTTGAGCTAGGCAAATTGAGCGTTGTTACCATGGTTAAAAAATTACACCGACTGAAGAAATAGCAATGCAATGTACAACAGATTGGACAAAATCTAAATTTATACATATACTTGTCATCCATTGTGATATATGTGCTGAAGTTACCTGTATCAACATAGAAAGAAACAAATAAAACAAACTGCCATAGTACCACACGTCTTCCCATGCACATGATATGCCAATGCATTTGTTCCACGTAGGAATGTTGATGCATTTGAGGATAGATTTGTCATGTGAAACAACAGTCAAACTTTTTAAGGAAAAAATGGGACCTTTAAAAAGCTTACACTGATTTTACCTTTTTTGCGTTGTGCAATAGATCCAAACAACAGTATTTTCTGCATCCTTTCAAAATTAATAGGTTTTATTGCTATTTCTGTCAAATTTGAATATAGATGCTAGTGTAGTATAACTATCACTCAAACATTTAGCTATGTGTAAGGCGAAACCTGATCGAGTTACATGGTTTAGTTTAGCAACTGAATTACAATGAGCAATCTTTGTTCCTCCATATCTCTTGATTTTTCCGTAACACTCTAATTTCACGCCAGGGAGGTGGCGAGCTGCGGGGTATAGAAACTGAGAGAGGCGAGTTGTGGTGTGCAATGGTCATCTGGGGACAGTGGCTGATAAGTGGGGGGCGCCGCATGGGGTGGTGACTAAGGGGCAGGCACCCGGAGGGTGGGCAACCTTGGAGAAGTAGGCGGGATAGGGGCATAGGCGGCAGAGGCATGTTTGTGAGGGGCAATGGTGGAAAACCATTTGGGTGGAGGTGGGGGCTATAAAATGAAGAATGGGGAGGAGAAGATGGGCGGCTGGAGCGCCGCCATCGTCGTCGGTGAACCACCGCCCTGCCGCTGCGCGACGTCGTCAACTGAGGCCCTCCGAGAGCCGCGAGTTCAAAATAGACATGAGCAAATATGGAACTTTGTAGTGTATTTTTTCTCTAAATAAAAGGGTGGTTTGTACGGTGAATTTCCTGAAAGAATTTGAATGTGAATCTGAATGTACAGAGAAACAAGTACATGAGCTAAGCATCTTGACTTGATCTTCGGCCAGATGTGCAAGCAGCACAAGCATGCGACAACACACAAAACACACATACATAGAACAATTTTTATGGACACATGAAGACTCCTAAATGCTTCTAAATTTTTGGAAAAAACATATTTCCCTCATGCCACTTATTAACATGACATTTCTGGGAGTGAAATGAGACACCAATAAAGGGAAAAAGAAATAAAGATAGATATGTCATATGTGACAGATAAAAGTGCTGAACATCATGTTAACGTGGAAGCCAAGATAAGGTATCTAACTGGCTAACTATATGGAGGGAACATAGTAAAGACTAAAGATAATCAATACAAATGCTGTTCAACCATAGCTTATGAGGAAACAAGGTCTAGTATTTTGCATAGCATGAAAATATTAGTCAGAATATCTGTACAAATACATGTAAACCTGAAGGAAACACATTTGTCTAACTAAAATAAGACAAAGAAGAGATGCTTACTGTAATTGCGTTCCCAACCAAGTGAAATACTACGCCTTGCATGCCTATGAGCTCATCAAAACGCACATCCTCAATACCATCCATGTCATCTAGACCATTTAACATATGCTCAACTTGGCCTATTAGAGTTATTTGGATGTTTGTCAGAAAGCTTCTTCACCCAGCTAGCAAGTCTTCAAATCAAGCATGCAAATGTAGATTATTTTCCTTTACAACATTTCATGCATGATCAATAATCTATAGTCCAATGATCTGCTTGCCAAAAATCAAATATCGAAATTAATCGCAGGTTAATTAAGCAGTGTAGGAGTAAAGCAACAGACCTATCAGTTACACAAATCGTTTCAGGTTTTCAACCACAGAAGTGTACAGAAAACATCAGAGATCTCCAGACAAATTGTCATTGGTAAGTCGCTCGGTCTACCATATGTTTAACACTAACTACTTCTTTCTGCGCCAAAAAGAAAAACAGTAAATGCAATTCTGAATTTCAAAGCTCGTATACTGATCCAAAATTGCAAATATATATTTGATCTACAGGAAACACATGACCACAAACACTAATAACTGGCACAGATCATTCCGAGCGCAACATTTTCTGATATATAAGATGTACATGAGAAAAATTCCCCACCGCATTATCTAACCACGTATAAGACACTACTCCAGACCATCAGTTAAAGAAAGTAAATTTTGCAAAACTGTTCGTACATACTTAGTCTTGACACAGGATTCATTAGTCATATAAATAGGAATTTTCAGGTTGGGATAGGGCGTAATTAAAAAGCAGATGAGATGTTAGCTTGGCTTCAACAACCATGAAGATATATCAGGAAATTGCAAGGTTTCCTTTAGTGAATACCTAAGTGCAGAACCGACAGATGGAGTTCCGACAAAGTCTGGACCAGGGGCGAACGGCGGGTGGTGTGCCGGCAGCTCGATCCCCTCCTCCTTCCCTTGTGCGCTGCACCAGGAGAGGAGCGCCGCGCCCCTCGGGCGTCTGCGCGTCCCGCCCAGCAGTGGCTTTGACGCCGGCGAAGTCCTCGCACCTCGGGAGAGTGGAGACAGAGATATCAAGGAGAGCCGGTGGTATCCTTGGTCCTTGCACACGGCAGCGCGAGGCGATGGCAGAGATGCTAGGGGAGTCGCGCGGTGGCGAGGTTAGTCGCCTCGGCGGGGTCCTCGCCCACGATCAGGACGTCCACCGGCGCTCCATCGTGAATATCGGCGGGCGCCGTGCTCCAGGGAGACGGTGGCTAGGGCTCCGTCAAGGCTATTTACCGGCGGGGGAGGACTACAACGGCGATTGGGGACGGAAGATGGTGGCGAGGGCTGCCGGAAGCGACGGCATGGCGGCGCGGCGGCGAAGGAAACCCTACCGTCGGTTTTCTATTTAAACAAACATCACTAATCGAGCTTTTTCAAATCCCCCGTACGAGGACACCACCCGCCATTCACGTGAACTTTTTCAAATCTGTGAACTGTTTTCAAACAAACGGAATTTTCTAAAATTAGTGATCTTTTTGAAATTTTGTGAACAATTTTCATTATTTGTCAACTTTTTTGAATACGTGAGCCTTTTCTATTTTGAAAAAAATTGCAAACTTTTTATTAATCTTGAACTTTCACTTTTTTGGAACCACGCAGCCCATATCGTCCTTAATTATACTGTCGAGGCACTACCGACCAAAAGTGGTAGGTGGTTCTACTAGCTAAGCGGGCTTAGAAAGCAAAGGCGTGAGTTCGAATCCTGGTGTTGCCACCTTTTTAGGATTTTTTTGTCCACTCGTGTTACCCGTTCGTGGGCCAGCCCAGCAAGGCGGTGCTGCGACAGTCAGTTGGTTAGTTTTTTTCTTTTCTTTTTTGGGAAGAGCCAGTTGGTTGGGGGAGCTCCTAAAGGGCGCCTTAAGCGCCACTTGACCAGCCGGCGCTCACGCGCCTGGTGTATTGGGCCGGCCCATCAAAGACCAGCGACCGCTCGATCGATCGTTCTACAGGCAGCTCGCTCCAGACGCATCGCACGGTCTTTTTTTTTTTGCTGGGAGAGTATCGCACGGTCGTTCGCGTGACCTGACCACTCATCGTTTGAACAATGCACCGTTGAGTTTCCAAAGCATTGAAACAAGTTCATGAATTTAGAAAAAATCACTAATAAAAATAAGTTCATGAATTTAGAAAAAAACATTGTGCATTAAAAAAAGTCTATGAATTTGAAAATATTCGTGCATCTAAAAAAACTTCATTGAATTTAAAAAGTTCACAAAAATATAAAAAAGTTCATGAATTTTAAGAAAAGTTCATAAATTTTGAAAATAGTTCATCGAATTTGAAAAAAAAGTTCAACGATTTTGAAAAAAGTTCATCGAATTTGAATAAAGTCGTCATTTTGACAAGAAAATCGAAACAAAATGCTCACAGATTTTTTTTAAATGTTCATCTAATTTTGGAAAAAGTTCACGAATTTGAAAAAAGTTCATCAACTTTGAAACATGTTCATCAATTTTGAAAAAAGTTCACAAAAGATTTGAAAAAGGTTCAACGAATTTGAAAAAGAGTTCATCGGTTTGGAAAAGAAGTTTATGACTTCGAAAAAACGTTTTTGTATTTTGAAAAAAGTTATCTATTTGAAGAAAAAGTTCACGAATTTGAAAAAAGAAAGACAAAATGGACAGAGAAAAAAAAAGAATATGAAGAAAGAAGAAAATAATTATAGACCTGAATCTAATGACACCATGTGATGTGGCGGGGTGGCTATTGGGTCGATCACTAAATCTGGCATGTTGCAGGTTTGAATCCAGCGCTCGACTGTTTTTTGCAGTTTAGAAACAGAAAAAAAAAGTGAAACTGGGCCGGCCCAACGTGGCAAAAGGGTGTGCGCCAGTTTGTAAATAACAAAGAAACGAGCGCTACGGGCGCCGTTTAGGAAACGCCGTTGGTTAGTTGGCGCTGAAGGCGCGGAGTAGGAGCTCTTATTAGGGGATCCATGACAATAGCCTTTTTTTTTGAGGGGTATCCATGACCAAAAATGCTAGACTTACGTACAGATTTTTACGTACTGAGCTTACGTGCTGACTTGTCCTATTCTTACTCGTCTAATGAACCATCCACTCCTAATTAACCGCCCCCCTCTGATTTCAGCGGTGTGCCCCGGCGGCAATTACGTAAAAGTTTTTGTAGCTTCCCGTAGGTGTAGCATTGCTCATCCATGACAATAGCCTGTCCCACAGATTGCCCGGTCGGAAAAGCCCAGCCGACAAAAGAAAAGTACACCCCCTCCCTCGCATCCAGCCCATCGCGCATCCCTAAACAGGCCGAAAGCGAAAGTCGGCAGCGCTTCGCGAATCTTAAAGCAACATCCATCCAACGGCTTGGAACGTGACTGAGACACCGTAGAATTTACTTATAGGGTTTCCCTTGGACATCCGCTCGCCGCCTCGAACTCTTTAGGGCTTCCCTTGGACATCCGCTCGCCGCCGCCAGTTCTTGAGCTACTGACACACCGCAATCGAACTCCCGAGCTAGCGGAGGCGCACGACTGGAAACGGCCGGCGTCCTCCTTTTTCTGGTAAGATCTATTGGATCCTTACCTCTAATCGCCGCCTGGCTAGCTCCTCACCACTCTCATCTCTAATTGCAAGGCCAGGTCTTCTAAGAAGTTTAAGTTTTGACAGTGATGATCCCATATTACATTAAGTGACCAGGGACAACAATCTAGGGAAGGTTGATTTGTTGTTGCTTTGGGGAGGTGGTTGTGCTCTTTTGGTTCTGGGGATAGTTAGGTATAGTTAACCTGTTTTTTCTCTCCTCACGTTGATGTTCCTCTTAAGGTCCCTCATTCGTAGTTCTGTGTAGCTTATATGCCCCGATTATTAGTTCTTGATTAATCGTGGTTAGAGGATTTTTTGGTTTAGCTTATATTGCTCCCGTTTGAATTATTAGTTTTTTAATCTTAGTTAAAGGATGTTCATGCACTACCCTTTGGAACTAAAACTAGCCCAGTCCATTTGGTACTTTGTATATATTTTTGCTTTAAGATATGTTTTGTATAAGTTTTATAGATATAGGCATTTATCCATCAATTTTTGCTATAAGGCATAATGGTCCTCTCTCTGTCTTTGTGTTGTAGTACTAATTAGACTCATTTTGTATTTACACTATACTTCATGGTAGTATTATAGCCCTTTGTGCTGGAGGCTTTGCTGTAAATTTGCTCCTAGTTTTTTGTTTTTGTTGTAGACTATGATTATTAGCAAGGGATACTATCTATCTTTAAGCTATCAAGAATGATGCTTTTAGTTATTTTTTCTAGTTTATACTATTAAGAATTATCTTGTTCAGTGCTTTCTTTGTTTCATGTCTTGGGATGTATATGACTTAACTATGACTATTTTCTTCTAAATTTTGTTCTTCAAGTTTCTTCCGTTTGACTATGATTACTAGTTTTCTTGTAATTTTCTCCTACTAATATTTAAGTCCTAGTATTTTAAGTTATTTTAGTCCCTCCTATTATAGTTATTTAGTCCTAGTATTTTAGTTATTTTACTCGTAGTATTTTAGTTGTGACTTCAAGGCTCCTGCTAATGAAGTTTTTATTTCTTCTTCCAACTATGGTTATATGTTCCAAGTAACATAGCAATTAGTTCTCCATCCATTTATTTGGTTCTTACATACCTTACTTTGGGGGGTTAATTTGTTTTTTTTCTATCTTGGATGTTTGCTGGGGGGACTTGCCCAAGAAAGGTGATATGGATGAATCAATTGATGTAAATGATGCTCTCACACATGCTTCCAACCCAGATAACAACATAAGGTCAATAGGAGAAGACATGCTAAAGCGGCTCCAAAATCGTGATCTTCCCAACTTTCTGCTATATTTATCATCTGAGCTCGTGAGGGAGGGGATTCCAGAAGAGTCTAGGGTACTTGCTGCCATCACCCTTAAGAACTCCTTGGACTCGAAGGATCCTGCACTCAAGGATGCACACAAGGATCTAATTTGTCTAAAATGGCTCAGCGTGGATAAATCTATCCGATTAGAGATTAAGAATAACTTGCTCATGACACTAGAAATTGATTCAAGGCCATCTCATTCAAGGCACCCCTCGTCAAAAGTTATTGCAGAAGTTATTGCGAGGGTTGCATGCATGGAGATACCCCGGAATCAGTGGCTGGACCTTGTTGGTAAATTAATGGACAACATGGCAAGTTTATCTTCTTCCCTAAAGCAAGCAACTCTAGAGGTGCTCCAGTATATCTTCAAGGCAAAGATCCCTAACGTTGTCAAGCGGGATCAAGTGGATGATGTTATTGCTAGTGTCATCAGTGCACTGAACGACGAGGTGCTAGGTTCTCAAGTCCATCTGGCAGCCCTTAAAGCTTTACACAACATTTTTGAGTTTACTAAGTTTGAAGGCCATGATTGGAGAGGTGCTATAGAGGCAGTTTTTGCTGTGGCTTATAGAACATCTGGAACAGAGATCCCAGAGGCAGCATTTGAGTGCCTCGTTGCAATTGCATCCACTTGTCATACCAAATTCGAACCCGACGTAGAAGTGCTGATGCGTATTACAATGCAAGCTTTGAATGGAGATGTGGAATCACTTAAAGTCCAATGTATCAAGTTGTGGATCACTATTTGCGAAAAAGAGATTGATTGGCTAGAAGAAGAAGAAGAAGAAGAAGAAGAAGAAGAAGAAGAAGAAGAAGAAGAAGAAAAAGAAGATAAAGATGAATCTTACTTTACTGGTCTTCTCTATTCATTGGTCCCACTTCTCCTACAAACTTACTTAAATGAAGAAGAGAGGGATTTAGAACAAATGGACATTTGGAAACAGGGAGATGAAGATGAGGGAGATGGAAACATTTCTCTGACCGGGGAACAAGAAGAAGAGGGAGATGAAAATGTGGAACAAAAGGGAGTAAACCTTGAAGACAATTGGGAACAAGAGGAAGATGAGACTTTACAAGTCATTTCCATGACATGCCTAGGCCTTGCAGCTAGAATTCTGAAGGGTGGAGTTGTCCCCACTGTGATGCATTTTGTTGAGGAGAACATGAATGGGCCACATAAGATAGCTGCATTGTCTCCATTAGGTTTTATCCTCGAAGGTCCCTCAGTCAAGCAGCTTGCTCCTCTAGTTGATTTATTGCTTGCCTTGATGGAATATCAGGCGGAAGGTGTAAGAGGCAGGGCTGCATGGACTCTTGGGCGGCTGTTTGAGCTTGTGGATGCACATAGAATCATGAGAAATGAGGTGGTGTCCCTGGATAGGATCATGGAGCTCTTGATAGAGAGGAGCTGTGATGTCCCTCAAGTGTCCATTGAAGTGCATGGAGCTCTATATTTTCTTGCACGAGGTTATGGAGAAGATGCAAAGTCAGGGTCAAAGTCAAATTCATGTGAGCTTTCACCTTTTGTTAAGCCTCTTATTGATGCTCTCATGCGTGCTTCCGATCTGGCTAGGGAGACCCCTTTTAGTTTCCTAGCATCTCCTTATAAAGCATTGAGTGAGATTGTGGAAGTTAGTGACACCCGGGACTTACAAGTTTGGGAGGCTCTTATGGGCTTGATGTCTCATATCATGAGGAGATTCAACATTGTGCTTCATGGTCATGGTGCAATTTCATCTCTTCAGAGGAAGAACCAACTTGAGGTCTTGTTGTGTGGTCTAGTTGAAGTCTTAATCCACAAGCTTGGAGATACACTTGAGGGGTCTGCTAAATGTTTGTTGCTGTTATTGTGCCCTCTCTTAACCCGTGAGAGTACAAGTGCACGTAATGGAGCAGCCCTTGCCATTGGTGCTCTTGCTCATGCCATTGGTGCTGATTTTGGACAACACATGCCTATGGTGCTACAATATTTCAGTGTGAAGCGACTCTCTCCACTTTATTTAGAAGTTATATGTGATATATGCCATGTCTTGGGAAAAGAGGGAAAAGAGGAAGAAGTTGTGCCGTGCTTTGATCATATTATGGAAGTTCTGTATCAAGGTATGGTAGAATTGACACTTCAACCTCTAATTCTATCAAGCATTGGACAGATTGCTCTTTCTCTTGGTGAGAAGTTTGAGAAGTACCTGCCTCCAGTTATGGAAAAGCTTTTAGTTATGGAAAAGGCTGTTCAACTCGATCAGGATCCTCATGAGGATCATAGTAACAAGGTTAGAGAGGCAATATGTAAGGCCTACCATGGCATAATAAGGGGAATAAGTGATGCAAAGTCTGGATTCAAGGTAGGAATGGCTCTACTTGAATTCAGTGAACAGGAGAGAAAGAGAAGGTAACATATGCCTTGTTTCTTTTGTTGGCAATACTCATTGATTATACTCATTGACTGATTGATTTTTTCTTTCTTTCTTTTACGGACAGGGAGAGAAGGACCGTGACAGCAAGGGACGAAAGGATCATGACAGCACTAGTTGATGCCTTGTCTCAGCTTCCTCCTAGAGTGGGCGTTTGGTCAGAGGCGTTTATTCTATCGGTGCAGCAAGCAAATATTTATTAGGAGAGGAAAGGAAGCTGTGCTTTATTTTGGTCCAGACAACTAAAGTGTGTCGGTTGACTGCTTTATTATTTTGAATGAACTGAAGTGTGTGGGCTGTGGGTTGTCTGTTGTAAACTTCATTTATCCTATAATTAATTAGAGTTAAGATTAACACAGTACGTTCACTGCTAGCTTAGATCATCTGGTGTAGCCTCCTGTGGCATTAGCCCATGATGAAGTGGTTCTTGCATGCGACTTACAGCATGTGATTATTGGATCTTCAGTTTATGGACACTGAGGATACATGTGCAACTGTATGATGTTTAAAATATTGTCACATATGTTTGCCAGAATCTTAGTCTACCGTATGAATTCATTTTCGCATTTAGCTGCTGGCATGCCATTGTTTGGTGCGGGCTCACTTCTGTGCCGAAAGTAGATTTCTCTTGGTGACTTAAAAAGCATGATAATTATAAGAGATTTAAAAAGCATGATAATTATGGTCGTCCATGATGTTATAGAGTACGGATGTAGTCCAAAGCAACATGGGTAGCATTTTCTCTCGCAGTGCACCAGTGAATGTAGTCACCTGGCTGGTGTGGGAGGTCGATTATTACCCATGATTCTATTGTATGTGGTATATCTAGCTGATTTGCTTAACAGCCTCAACTATACAACAGCCACACATGCAGTTTCATAACTTTGATTCACTTGTTTGAGATCTGCGATGGTCAAGTTGGCAAAACAGAAGTCAATTGTACAAAGATCGACAACTGAAACATCTTACTGCAAAATGGATGATTGTGAATTTTGGATAACCAATATTAACATTGTCAACTGATTGCTTGAGCTTTTTTAACCTCATGAAAATCTGTAACTATGATTTTTTTTTCTGAAAAAGGAAGTACACGTCCCCGCATTTTTGTGAAGTTCACAAGATGTGAAGTGCACATAGCATATGTCACTTATAAAGTTTGCATGTATCTAATTTTACTTATGAAGTTTGCACGTATCTAATTTTGCATTAGATAACGAACTCAATGTTCAATTGACATATTACTTGCAAATCTTTGAGAGGAAGATGAGAATTTGTGTGCATTATTGGAGTTGGCACAATGCAAACTATACATCTCGACAGCTTCCTCCCAGCACCCATAGAACACGACATTTCTGCACAATGGTGCAAGTCCTAAGTCCACATAGCAAATGTCAAAGCATGACGTACTGGTTCACTGGTTTAAATCTGCATAACAATTGCTGACACAAAAAAGTTCCATGCATTGTAATGAAAATATCACCAATGAACTTATATATAATTAACATAACTAAAAGCTTAACTAAAGAACATCAGGCACACTCTTCGCAATCTGAGTTTCAGGGTAGAATAACACAAGGAACGTTAAATTCTGAACCAGGAGGTGGAACATCTGCTTCAAGATTTGTAAATAGTCCAAAAATCACGCAGAAACCTGAAATCTGGTAGCATCGGCGGCTTCTTCAACCGTCATCATGGTTGCTCACCTGAAGACCTCCGCCATTGTGAATACCTTACAGATTCCTGCAACAATCAACAAAGGAAATAAGTCTTCCATCCCCTAAATAAAGTCCTCCATCAAACGGTGTTACGAGAACAAAGCGAAGTTTTTAGTGCTATACATAAGTTGCTTGCTTCACTGAAGATTTCCAAGATAAAAATATTTTCAAAAAATATTATTTCAAACAGATTTCACATGCCTAGTAACCCAGAAGTTAAACATGCCATTAACGGAGTATACATTATTCCACAAAAAATGTAGTACAACATAGCAAAGTTTCTAGTGCTACATGAGTTGGTTGCTCTGTTGACGATTTCCAAGGTAAAATAATAAATTTTAAACATATTTCACATGCCTAGTAACATAGAAGTTAAAAATGCCTGGTAAATACATTATTCCAGTAGGCGCCTATAGAAAAGCTAAAATCCGAAACCATGGTCTTGAAAATGAATATGAGAGCTAATTCTAATGGATAAAATCCGGTAGCCATGATCTTCAAATGAACATGAGAACTAATTCTGATGGTGGTTTCATTCCATATAAGCAACTAAGTGACTCTGCACTGTTACCTGCTACAGAACAAAGCAGACAAAGCAGTTGCTGCACTGTCCAAATAGGGTGCAGATAATTTCTAAAGTGAATGAATACCATGGAAAAAAAATAACACCTAATGCAGGGCATGTACCAACCAAACAGCGCATCCGTATTACACCTCAAAAGGTTGTCCTTAAAACAAAATTCTGTGACACACACAGGACAGGACAGTCAGGGAGTGAGAAAGGATATATTGGCATGCTGCTAATAAACTCCAACATATCATTAGCAAATACATCCTGATATGTAATCCAGTAAATTGACATTAGAATTTGTTTGTGCGATTAATAATAGAAGGTAAACAGGAGCAATGTTTTCAATGTTTCTAAATATTGCACTAAAACCTTGATCAATGGTGCTGAAGTGTCAGAAAAAAGCATAATATTTCCCTAAATAGTGATTAGTATGTTAAATTTCCCCTAGGATCTGTTACAGTCAAGCTACTGACGCATACAGTTCAGCTTAATAACAAAAATTTAACATCGTAGTGATAGCCGGACAAACTCATTTAGACCACTCTTCTTCATTGTTTTTCTTCCCTATGTAAGCCATCGCCTAATCGCAGTTATCTTCAATGGATAGTGAGGCCAGCAACTCCTAAATTGACCGTGATGTTACATTATGTGATCGATTTAGGTACTGCTTAACTCATACTACTGCACTGTAGTTCAGGTAAGGTTGTAATCCTTTTAATAGAAAAAAAAGATTAACAAATTGTTGAGATATATCATACTGTGTATACACACCTTTTACTCCTAGAATCAAATTATTTCTTATGATCAATCTATGTAGTTTTTCTAGATAATTCTGCACTTGAAAAGCTCTCAATAGTTACTCTGAACATTTTTCATTCATGAGCTACCTTCCCGGATTTTTTATATATTGAACCCAACATAGTGGAAAACGCAACGGGAACACCAAAATTACCTATGTGTTCAATTTCGCCTTGTTTACATTTAGCTGCCTCATCACTTCCGCTCTTGAGGTTCATTCTTTTACTGAGCAATGACCTGCCGGCTTCATATTCCCGCAAAAAAAAGGAAGAGAAGAAAGAACCTCTTATATGCACACAACTGAGACTCAACCATGCTCCTTATCTTTCTTCAACCCACATAATTTGTTCTTAGAATCCTGTTGAAATCAGGGGGTCATACTTATGCTTCTCAAGGTAAAGAAAAGAACACAACACCGAAACACAACTTCAATCTTATTGAAGGAGAAAATGAATGCAGCCTTTTTGTCCAATCCATGATTATTTCCATACATGTTGCTGCCAAATGGATCATCAAACGATGTTTCCCATCTTGCGTCTTGGACCCCCCCTCGCACCCGTGACGCGCCCCGCGCGCACGTCCGGGAGCCCTAGATCCGCCGCCAGCCCAAGCTCCCCCTCTCGGCTCCTCCTCCCCCTCGCCGCCGTTGGAGCGCGCCGCCGGGCGAAGCTCGTGCGCCGCGGGCGGTGGCGGGGCATCTCCCTCCCTCCCCTGTTCAGGATTCCGGTGGCGCAGGCGACGCTGCTCATGGGGGCGCGGGTCCGGCGGGTTCCCGGTCGCGGTGATGCACAGATCCGGTGGCTGGGCGGCTGGGAGGTGGCAAGCGTCCCTGCAGCGCTGGCGGCGGTGGTCTAGGTCACGACCCGACCTGGATCTCGTCGGGTGGCTATGGACGCGGATGGCTGGTGGTGCGCGCTGGTGGGCCAGCGGTGGCGGCTGCTCCGAGCAGCGGTGGCTGCTCCAGGTCCGGCCTGGCCAGCGCCGCGGGACCAAGATGACCTGGGCTGCGGGCGCCGCCCTTGCCTCGGCCTGTGGCTGGTAGGGTGGCGGCGCAACTGCGGCGGCCTTGGCGGACGTGTTGGCCGGATTCCAGCTTGCTCTGGTGGCTGGACATCGGTGAGCGGCGTGGTTGGACTTCCCGGTGAGCGATCTTGGTAGTAGGTGGTGGTCTGCGGGGTCCCCTTGCCGGTGGACGAACCTTCGTTAGTGGCCTTGTGCGGATCTGCTTCGTGTTGGGGAACGTTGCAGAAAATAAAATTTTTCTACGGTTTCACCAAGATCTATTTATGAGTTCATCTAGCAACGAGTGATCGAAGTGCATCTACATACCTTTGTAGATCGCGAGCGGAAGCATTCAAGAGAACGGGGTTGAGGGAGTCGTACTCATCGTGATCCAAATCACCGGAGATTCTAGCGCCGAACGGACGGCACCTCCGCGTTCAACACACGTACGGAGCGGATGACGTCTCCCGCGCCTTGATCCAGCAAGGAGGAGGGAGAGGTTGAGGAAGATGGCTCCAGCAGCAGCACGACGGCGTGGTGGTGGTGGAGAGGCAGTACTTCGGCAGGGCTTCGCCAAGCTCTACGGAGGAGGAGGAGGTGTTGGAGTGGGAGAGGGAGGCGCCAGGGGCATGGGTGCGTCTGCCCTCCCTCCCCCCTCTATATATAGGGTCCCCAGGGGGGCGGCGGCCCTAGGAGATGGGATCTCCTAGGGGGGGCGGCGGCCAAGGGGGTGGAGTGCCCCCCAAGGCAAGTGGAGGCGCCCCCTCCCCTAGGGTTCCCAACCCTAGGCGCAGGGGGGCCCAAGGGGGGGCGCACCAGCCCACTAGGGGCTGGTTCCCCTCCCACTTCAGCCCATGGGGCCCTTCGGGATAGGTGGCCCCACCCGGTGGATCCCCGGGACCCTTCCGGTGGTCCCGGTACAATACCGATGACCCCCAAAACTTTCCCGATGGCCGAAACTCGACTTCCCATATATAATTCTTTACCTCCGAACCATTCCGAAACTCCTCTTGACGTCCGGGATCTCATCTGGGACTCCGAACAACTTTCGGGTTACTGCATGCTCATATCTCTACAACCCTAGCGTCACCGAACCTTAAGTGTGTAGACCCTACGT